TTATTCTCATCTCCTTTCCTTCCCAAGGGCCATGTACTCAATAACAAAGAAAGCCTTAGAGGGCCCAGCGCAGTGGCCTAGCAGCTAAAGTCCTCACCCTGAACACGCAGGATCCCATATGGGCACCAGTTCTAATCCCGGAAGCTCCACTTCCCATCCAGCTCCCTGCTTGTGGCCTGGGAAAGCAGTCGAGGATGGCCCAAAGCCTTGGGATCCTGCACCCGCGTGGGAGACCTGAAGGAGGTTCCTGGCTCTGGATCAGCACAGCACCGGCCGTTGTGGCCACTTGGGGAGTGAGTCATCGAACAGATGATCTTCCTCTCTGTCCCTCCTCTCTGTATATCTGACTTCCCAATAAAAATAAATCTTTTTTTTTTTAAAAAAAAAGAAAGCTTTAGAAACAAGCATGTTTTGGGCCCGGCACGGTGGCGCAAGTGGTTAAGGGTCCTCGCCTTGCACGCCCGGGATCCCATATGGGCGCCGGTTCTAATCCCGGCAGCCCCGCTTCCCTTCCAGCTCCCTGCCTGTGGCCCGGGAGGGCAGTCAAGGACGGCCCAAAGCTTTGGGAACCTGCACCCCCGTGGGATACCCGGAGGAGGCTCCTGGCTTCGGACCGGCATAGCATCGGCCCGTTGCGCTCACTTGGAGAGTGAATCATCGGACGGAAGATCTTCCTCTCTGTCTCTCCTCTCTGTACATCCGCCTTTCCAATAAAAAAATAATAAAAATAAATCTTTAAAAAAATAAATAAATAAATAAAAAAGAAAGAAACAAGCATGTTTTAAATCCTTGTGCATACATTTTAATGCCTATATTATTCAATCTAGGGACTCTAATTCTACAGAATACCAACAGGACCATGAAACAAATAGGAGTACAAAACTACACAAATTTATTTATTCAAATTAAGAAAAAAGATATCTATATGTGTGTAGCTGCTTTCAAATAGATAATATTTCTAAAAATCAATTTTAATTGGCGTAACAATGAAATATCCTTTGTTTGAAATGGTTACACAGGGCCCAACATGGTAGCCTAGCAGCTAAAGTCCTTGCCTTGCATATTCAGAGATCCCATATGGGTGTCAGTTCTAATCCTGGCAGCCCCGCTTCCCATTCAGCTCCCTGCTTGTGTCCTGGGAAAGCAGTCAAGGAAGGCCCAAAGCCGTGGGACCATGAACCCATATGGAAGACCTGGAAGAGGCTCCTGGCTTTGGATTGGCTCAGCTCCGGTCATTGTGGCTACTTGGGGAGTGAATCAGTGACGGGTCTTCCTGTCTTTTCTCTTCTCTATATCTGACTTTATAATAAAAATAAATCTTAAAAAAAAAAAAGAAGAAAGAAATGCTTATACAAAAAGTAACCTGCCTAACCCGACACTAACTAATCACTGCCCTTCTGACTCCCTCTCTACTCAACAAAGAAATGATTAGCCCCTGTATGTTCTTTGGCTTTTTCCAGGCTTATTCTGTACCCTCTGCTCAGCGATGCGAACATTTACTCTGTCATAAGAAGCAAAATGTTACTCAATCTTAGAATTAAAAATAAAGCCAACTGAGACATTTAAACAAGCTGTCACAATACTGTCCTTTTCACAACTAGAGAAGGACTGGAGCAGGAAAGCAAATGCTAAAAGCAAGTGGAAAGATCAACATGACTGGAGGAAAGAAAAGGATCTAAAGGGGCGGGGATTCAGGCAGTGGAGCAGGACATGGCTCCCACGACCAACGCATCACTCTCCACACTCACTGTCACTGTTTCTAACACTGCCTTCGTGCCATCACACACTTCTTTTCCATTCAGCACTACAGCCATCTTATTAAAATGCAAACCAGACCATTTATTCCTCTGTCTAAAACCTCCAGCTGCCTATTCACAATTAAATACAAACACTATTTTAAGGCCTTCGACATTCTAAATGATGCTACTCCTCCCTGTCTCTCTGCTTTGGCGGCTATACCTTCTTCATGTGAGTTGGCCATCTCAGGTCCAAACCCAATCTTGTATGTTGGGCTCTGGGACAGGGCTCTTTCCATCTTTGTCAGGAGGGCTTCCTGTCAGTTTCTGTCAGCTGGAGCCACCATAATAAAAGCCAAAGCAAGGAAAGCTCACCCCCTTTTTATTTGAAAGGCAGAACTACACAGACAGGAGAGACAGACAAATGGACAGAGAGAGAAAAAGACAGCCTTCACCTGCTGGTTGACTCCCCAAATGGCCACAACAATCAGACCTAAGCCAGTCTGAATCCATGAGCCTGGAGCTTCCTGGGAGTCTCCCACGTGGGTTTATTTCCTTCTGTTGATTACCCACACACATTAGCAGGGAGCTGGATCTGAAGTGGAGTATGGGACTTGAACATGCACCCATATGTAATGCTGGCACTACCGGTGGGGGTACTAAGTGCTATGCCACAGCACTGGCCTCATGGGGATCAGCAGTGTGTTAGTCTTCAGATTCCTTGAGTCTCTCGGCACCAGGCTCCCCAAGTCCCCTGCAGCCAGATACAGCTACCTGCTCAGGCGTGAGCAAGAACTACAGAGATGGCTCCTCCAGCTTCTTCCCAATGGGCAATTTCTGGTATCACTGTTACTGGGCAACTTCTTCAATTTCTTCAAAAGACCTCTTCAACTACCCTCTACCCTCCAGCCCTCTAAACCTGGTGTAACAAATTCCTAAATTAAATTCCCTCTGTTGAAAGAGTGGGATTTGGAATTGTAGTTCCATCAACTATGCCCTGAAAACTCAGCCCCTCACTGCAGCCAACCTGAACGAGTACTCCTGTGCCATTGAGCCAAGCTTGTTTTTCATCTCCGCGTCATGGCAGTTCCAGCTGCTTGCACCTTCTTGCTTTCATCCCTCCCGAGGCAGGCTCCTTCTCACAGCATCAGTCTTTGTTTAACAGTCCCCTCCACAGGGAAGCCTCCTCTGACCCACCTATCCAGTCTTCACCTCCTCATCCTGCCATACTTCCTGTTGCATTATTTCTCTATTTGTTTAAATGCTTACTGTCTGTCTTACCTACTATCTACTACAGTGTACTTCCCAGGCAGACAGGACTGGATTTGCCTCAGCCATTGCTGAACTGGCCCAGAAGAGAGAGTCATTCAGCAGTTATTGGAAGAATAAATACATAAAGAACCAAGGGCAGAAAGATCAGTATAAGCAAATGCAGGGAAGAAGAAATTAGCACAGTGTAAAAAGGAGAGGGAGAAAAGTTCATTGGACTAGTAATAAAACAGAGGAGATGGGAAATAAGTTTTGACAAATAGAATGAGATCATTTTAAATACAGCCTGAAAAGTCTCATCATTGTCTTGTAACCACTGAAGATTTACTAACTGGCAGACAGGATGGCGAAGACTGCAAAAATAGACACAGAAAGAACAGGAAATAATAATGAGTTCAGCATTTTAGAAATGTTCACCCAGTAGCCGTTAGAACTGCATGGTTTGGTAAGATATTTAGAAGTAGGGAAACCAGCTACACTTCAGAAATCAGAAAAAAGATCCCAAGATCTGGCTGTGTGATTTCTGAGATATTTCAAAGCATGGCCCAACACAAATTGGCTCCTGTGTCATTTTGAAGGAGGAAGGAGAGATGGCATCCCAGCAAAACTTTGAGACTGCACATTAGAGAAACAGGTGCACATCACAGAGGCCCCCGGATAAGGCTGGAAGTAAAGGAGGAAGCAGAGCTCTTCTGACTGTATTTTACCTTGTGCAGAGCACCATCTGCTTCTCCCCTAGAATATGATGTTTCTAGTATCCATTTTTGAGGATAGAGAGCTAAATTCTCTCTCATTTTATAATTTAAGCCCTCCCTCTACTGATTCCCCAAAAGGTCTGAAATGTACTGGCTTCAGCCAGAAGGCAGAGTGGCAGAGGATCTAAAATTGACACGCTTGGCTTACACAGACAACCCAATAAGCAAATATAAAAATCCCCAAGTTGAGCAGTGGAGTGTTGACTTAGTGCGTAAGGTGCTGGTTGTGATGCCCACGTCCCATATCGGAGAACCTGGGTTCAGAGCCCAGTTCTGGTTCCAGCTTCCTGTTGGTGTGGATCCTGGGGGCAGTGATAATGGCACGGCTAGTGAGCCTGCAAGCCCTGAAGGAGAACTAGATCAAGTATCTGGCTCCTGGCTCTCACCTGGCCCAGCCACGTCACTAGAGACATCCAGGATGCAATGCCTCTCAAGCAAATAAGTTATTAGAAATAAATATAAAATCTTGGGAAAGGTTAAAAATAGAAAACAGGGCAGGTATTCGGCAGAGCACTTTGGAAGCTGTTTGGGATGTCTGCAAGCCATATCAGAACCCCTAAGTTCAAGTTCCTGCCTCACTACTGATTCTAGTTTCCTGCTAATGTGTGCCCTGGGAGGCAGCAGGCGGTCTTAAGTTCTTGGGTCCCTGCCTTCCACATGAGAGACTCAGAGTGAGTTCCTAGCTCCTGACTTTGGCCTGGCACAGTCCCAGCTGCTGCAGGCCTTTGGGATGTAAACCAGCAAATGCAAAATTTGTGTCTCCCTCTTTGTGTCTCTGCATTTCAAATAAAACAAACAAAAAACAAACAAACAAAAACAAAAACAAAACACCAAAAATTGTGGGTTTGATGCATTGGTTCAATTGGCTAATCCTTCACCTCTAAGCACTGCATCTCATATAGGCACTGGTTCGTGCCCTGGCTGCTCCACTTTTGATCCAGCTCCCTGGTTGTGGCCTGGGGAAGGAGTCGAGGATGGCCCCTGCACACACAGGAGACCTGGAAGGAGCTCCTGGCTCCCTGTTTCAGGTAGACTCAGCTGCAGCCGTTGCAGCCATTTGGAGAGTGGACCACTAGAGACTGGAAGATCTTTGCCTCTTCCTCTCTTTGGAAATCTGCCTTTCCAATAAAAATAAATAAATCTTAAAAAAAAAAAAAGAAAACTTTTTTTAAGTAGACCATTTTTGCAAATAGCTAATTTTAAGCTGTACACACATAACAGATATTCTTACAACTCTTACCTGTGCAGCAGAAATCTTGGCCACTTGGATAATCTTCTCCATAGAAAGGTAGCTCTGCTGGGAGGGAGCAGGGCCAATAAAGTAAGCTTCATCAGCCTGTTCGAAAAACAGGATGTGCTTAAGAGATAATGCAAAAGTATATACTCTCTTACCACAGAGAAATGGTTTGGACTCTTTTTATCCTGGCTCCCAAAGAACAGTGCAAGAACTCAAAAACAACAGTGCTGGCTCATGTTTGTGTTATGAAAAATGAACCAGTCCTAAAATCATTTATATGAAAGGATGTTCACATGTGATATTCGCACCGGAGTGAAATTACAGTGTCACACACAGGAGAGCAATGGGCTTTAGTCATGATATGATTAACCGTAGCAATAATCTAAGCTATATTTTATGTCTCACGGTTACAATTTGAAAATAGACACAAAGCATTTGAATAGATATATACTGCATGAAAACATTTACAAAAGTATACACAGTTATGAAAGTATGAAGACAGTGCTTCTTCCACACATTTGTGAACTATTTTATACTGTCCCCTGGAACTTCCACGTAGTCTGTTTTTGGATCCACCATCTGTGTTGGGACTGTCACTAAGATGCAGATTTTGTGAAAACCCTCAGTGGGAAGACCATCACACCATGAAGATTTGCACACATATATGACTGCTAATCCATTAAATCATGCGGAAGTTTTTCTAAAGATTTATTTTATTTATTTGAAAGGTAGAGTTAGAGAGAAAAAGAAATGAAGGTAAAGAGAGAGAGAGAGATCATAAATCCACTGGTTTACTCCCCAAATACCCACAAGGGCTGGAGCTGGGCCAGACCAAAGCCAGGAGCCAGAAATTCCATCTGGGTTTCCCACATGGGTGCAGGAGCCAAAGAACATGGGCCATCTTTCACAGCTTTCCCAGGCACATTAGCAGGGAACTGGATATGAAGTGCAGCCAGGATTCAAACCAGAGCTCATACAGAAAACCAGCACCATAGGAAGTGGTTTAATCCATGGTGTCACAGATTGCAGAAAGTGACTCAGTGAAATAAGGAGAGGACTCTGGAACACAGCACGTGGCCACCCAAGGGATGGCAGCAGCTTGGACCAGAGGCACAGCTGGAAGAGGACAGAAAGAAGTGTTTGGGAAATAGAGTTAATCACACTTGGGGATCTTTCTAGACGGAGAGGTGGTGGGTAAGTGTTGAAATAAGAAGAGAGGAGAGAGATACTCAAAAATGCCCAGATCTCTGGCACTATAATTTTTATGAGTTCCACAACCATCTACTGGGTAAAGTATGTGTGTAAAAAAAAATCAGATTGAATAAGATGAGAAGTATAGAGTTCAGTTTCAGATTAATTCCATATCTATGACAAGACCTAGATGAGACAACAAGCCATAGGTAACTGGAACAACATGTAACATGTTCAAAAGGAACTCTGGGCTGAAAACAGAAATTTGGGAGCTGTTTTCTTTTTCTTTTTTTTTTCCAGTAATGCTGGAATAGGTCACATGATCTAGGGTAAGAACATATACTGAGAAAATAAGAGGGCCAAAGACCAGGTTTTTTTAACTAGGCAAAGTTAAACTGGGAGATGGAGAGAGAGGTTTACTTCCCAACAGCCAGAGCTGAGCAGGTATGAAGCATGGAGCCTGGAGCTTCTCCCAGATCTCCCACATGGAGATGCTTTCCCAGGCCATAAGCAGAAGCGGGATCAGAAATGAATCAGCTTAGGCCCAGTATGGTAGCCTAGTGGCTAAAGTCCTCATCTTGTATGCCCAGAATCCCATATGTGTGCCAGTTCATATTCCAGGTGTTCCACTTCCCATCCAGCTCCCTGTTTGTGTCATGGGAAGGTAGTCAAGGACAGCCCAAGGCCTTGGGACAATGCACCCGCGTGGGAGACCCGGAGGAGCTCCTGGCTCCTGGCTTCGGATTGGCTCAGCTCCAGCCACTGCAGCTACTTGGGGAGTGAACCATGGGACAGAAGATCTTCCTCTCTGTCTCTCTTCCTCTCTGTATATCCGCCTTTCCAATAAAAATAAATAAATTTAAAAAAATAAATAAATAAGGCTCAGGGACTGTAAAACAGCTTACCCAACATCACTTGGATGGCAGCAAATGGAGCTGTTCAAAACACAGCCTTGAACTTTGCCCTTGCACATCAAGGATCTGGATGCAAGTTGCTGCAAACAACTCAAGTATGGATTGGCCACACTCTGACTGGTTCTAACCAATCCTCGAAGAGATGAGGACTTGCCTGTAACTTACCACTCAGTACGCTGTTTAGTTCAACGTATGTTTCAGTAAGAAAACAGTCCCAAGCGGAAAGAACTTTTCTGAGCAGTTTGAACAACTTAGATCCTGCTGACTCCAAAAGTATCAACTGTCATTGGAAAGGACAAAAATACTGACACAATAAATAAAAGTGATCATGTATGAGATATTGCCAGGGTTTCATGACATACCATATCTACATGCATGGAATTCCTGTCGGCCTCACTGTAAACAGCTACGGACTGTACACCCATTTTTTTGGCTGTTCGCATCACCCTGCAGGCAATTTCTCCTCTGTTTGCAACGAGGACCTTGGTAATGTTTCTTCCTGTTTAAAATACCATGAAAATCATACACAATTGTTACTGGAGAGGAAGGAATAAGAAAGAGAAATGTCTTTGTTAAGATCAGCATAAGAGAGCCTAAAATTACCATTTCAACTGATATTAATGTATTCATCAACTGAAATTGAAGATACTCTTACATGAATTCTTAAATGACTCTGATTTTTAACCAAAAACATTGAAATGAAAAGATGCTTTGTACAAAAAAGACCAAATTGCAACAAGTTAAAATAATCACCATAATGAATAACAACTGATTGTTGCCAAGTACTTTCAAAGCCCTAAGTTCTGCACCAAGGACTCAATCTATACTTAAATTCTCACAACAATCCTAATAAAAGCGAATATTCTTAGCATTGTCTTAATTTTAAAGATGCAGAAACTAAAGCTGAAAGAGGTATGACCTTCCCAAAAGAAGTGAAGGCTCAGGATTTGAACCCAAGTCTACGTCACTACAAAACTGGACCTCATGGTCGCTCGGATGCGCAGCCTCCACATGCAGCGATGTGTGCTCCTTCTGCAATGTAAATGACTACCGTGCCAGTCTACCAGCATCAGTGTCATGACATGCTATTGCCATTTTCATACAAAATGCGCCTCTGGGACCAGGATCCCCAGGCAAAGCCAGTAGATGGAAATCTAGGGCTGCCCTAGGGTGGCAGGGATCCAACTACATGCCCATCACCTCTGCCTTGCAGGTTCTGCACTAGCAAGCATCTGGAGTTAGGAGCCTGACTTGCAAACCAAAACCAGAAGCTCTGATGTACAATGCAGTTATCTTAACTACTAAGCCACAAGCCTGCTCTGGATTTCACAGAACCTAAGGTGGCATTCTTCAGGGGCGATCGTGGAAACCAAGAACTGTCACAGGTCAGGGAGAGAGAAAGAGAGAGAACGCACATGCACCTATGGTGGAGAAGACAGCAGCAGGCTGTAGGGATGGGATTGATGGGGAATTAATACACAAATAACTGGAAATTACACTTTTATAAATGCTATAGTTGTAAAGTCCATGTAAATTTTTTCATTTGGAAAAAAATTCTTGCTATTTAAAATTATTACTTTAAAAACAGTGATTCAGGGCCAAATACAATGGCTCAATCGCTAAATCCTCACCTTGCAAGCAGCAGCATCCCATATGGATTGTCCCGGCTGCTCTACTTCCCATCCAGCTCCCTGCTTGTGACCTGGGAAAGCAGCAGAGGATGGCCTAAAGCCTTGGGACCCTGCACACATATGGGAGCCCTGGAAGAGGCTCCTAGCTCCAGTCATTATAGCCATTTGTTGAGTGAACCAACAGATGGAAGAGCTTTCCCTCTGTCTCTCCTTCTCTCTGTACTCTGATCTGTCTTTCCAATAAAAATAAACAAGTATTTCAAAACAAAACAATGATTTAATCAGTATAGTTATACAACAGTCAGTCAGAAGATACAAATATAAAATATCTCCATTATTACTCCCTATATTTTAAACTTAACAGCAAGAGAATATAGAAGATACCAAAAACCACAATTTGACACTTATTAAGAAAATTATCATGAAAATCCAAAATGTTAAAGAACTAATGTTATGAGAACTAATTCTGGTATGCACAAATTAAGGGACTAAACAGTTTTTCCTTAGTTTGCAACCTGAACCAAAGCCAATTAGCACAAGAAATGTTATCAATACCTGTGGTTGTTGCATACTTCATGGTTCTTTGCTTCCAAGCCCATCTCCTAAAAAATAAATCCAAGTGAAATTGTAACTATACAGAAAATTAAAGATTAGTCATTATTCTTTGAAAAGAATCTATACTTTTTAGTTTGAAGCCAAGTCCAAGTATAACCTAAATTAAACCTTCATCTGAACTGCATCATAGAAATAATTTTTTTAAGTTTAAAAAGGTTTTTCTCTTAAAAAAATAAAATATTAATAATAAAAGCCTTAATCTGACCAGCAGTGGGATTTAATAGGACTTTATTTATGAGAAGAAAACTAATCTGGAAATCAGAAGTTAAATTTCTCCCCTTGAGTCACCTAACCCGTTTGCTCCTGAGCCTGGCAAAAGAACACAGTAAGGAGTGATGAAAAACCAAGGAACTGCTCTGTGCACACAGAGATAAAGAGGCCCCGGGGAAGACAGAAACCAACCCTGCTGCTACCTGAATCCTGCTCTCCCAGGCTCCAGAAGCACAAGAAAGTTTCTATCGTTGAATTAAAAAGCAATAATAAAAAGCATGTGGGTGGGAGACCGGGTGGGGCTTCTCCCTTAAAATCCCCCTTTACCTCAGATATATGAAGGAAACAATAGGGAGATAATAGTCTTACCCACTGCAGCCCTTGAATCTTTCCCTCAGGGTAAGTACACCATGAGAGAAATGTGGAAACTGGATTAAAGTCCTAGCTTCGCCCTGCTGCTAACATCTCGCGGCAGGATGAGTTTGAGAGGGGTTTGGCCTTGGGGCTGGGGACAAAAGCAGCTCCAAACAGTGTGATGGCTGTGGGGGGTGCCCATGCCAGGCCAGATCCAATGCTGGGGACTCAGGCCAAAGCCACTGCCAAAAGGCAATGACCAAATCCTTGGCTTTGGGAAGACAGTGCACTAAATAGTGCTAGGCTCTGCCTGCTGGCTGCCCAGCAGCAAACTCTGGGGTTTTTAGAATATGTAATTGCTGCCTAGGGATAAACACAGAATTAGTATAGGTAAAAGATGAATTCTAGGTGATTCCCAGTAACGAGGTCATGAAACTTTCAGGCAAGCGTGGGGACTGAAACCTGATGGTTTGGAGAGCAGTGTCCGTAAGATATTTGGGCCAGACTGATTCACCAGCCCACATGGGAATCCTGAGATGGACTGTTAGCATAGAGCATCACTGACTGCCACACACCAGTCCACACCAAAGCTATGGATGGAGGCCTGTCTGGCAGGCTAGGTACCAATACCTGACTGGGTGGCAGAATAGTGGACTGGTCACCCTTGGCAGGTCAAGACACTAACCAGCACGACAGAGAGAACTTGGACCGGGGGTAAACTCTGTGGGGGAAGTATGGGCCCAACCCTGTGGAAATACAAGTCCTGCATGTTAGCTCATGAGTTGGGATGGTGATAGGCTGATGTAGGTGTGACCATGGAACCTGCCATCACTTACAGGTAAAGGAACCAATGGCAATCTGGGCAGGTCAAGGCAGCAGCACCCAAATGTGCATCCTAAAACAGGATGTGGGGTGGGCCAGGCTGCAAATGGAAGGCGGTGGACCAGGCAGGGCCAAGCAAACCCCATCTCACAAGAAAGAATAGAAATCAGGATGGAGCATATGTCATACCGAACTAGGCTCTTACACCAACTGGTCTGCAAAAGCCAGGGATACTAGGCCACAGCATTAAAGGCAAAGCTTGAGACAGGTGGGGGTCTTAGCCAATTGGGTCGGAATAACCACTGGCACGCACATAATCTTGGGTTGGCAATAGGTTCGGTTGGGGAACTGTGAGAGTACACCCTTGCTGGGTTGGGGTTCCCACGGGAGAGTGCAGGGGCCAGAATACAGGCTGCAATTGGTCTGGATATGGCTGCAATCTCCCTTGGCATAAGTGTGAACTGCAGCTGGGCGCAGCAAGCAGGCTAGATGCCAGCACCATCTGGTGCTCTGGAGAACCTGGGTAGATAGATGTAGGACGGATTAGGCTAGGTCTCTGCCCCTACTGAGCCATGTGTTAGCAGTGTCTGGGTATGGATGAGCCTTGGCTGGGCTGAAACATCCAACATCAAGAAATGGAATGGACTGAAGGCCAGTAAAGAGGGCTGACCCATGGAACCACCAGTATGCATGAGATCTGGCAATGGGAGAGGTTCTTATGGAAGACCTTGGGAAACTTCTCTGTCAGGACACAGTTCCTGCAGGTGAGCACAAGAACCACGATAGGGAGCAACCCAGACCAGGCCAGAGGAAGATACCCACTGGCATACATATGGCATAGGTGGGGGGCAGACCAGGCTGAACCCATTCACATCACCTGCTGGTGAATCCAAGCACCAAAATAGAGTGTGGGTCAGGCCAGGTTCAGTCGCAACACAAACCAGTGCACATTATGGAATGCCAAAGTGAGGTGAGCCATATCAGATGTGGTTATAGCGCCCAAACAGCACACGTGAGAACCAGGAGGGAAGGGCAGAGCCGGCAGGGGGAAAGTGGGCTCTCCCCCTACTGGACAACCACTCCCACTGGAAAGCGTGAGTTGGGATGGGGGCAGACCAGACCAGGCAGGGCTACAACGCCTGTGGGCCTTAAGTGAGCTAAATCAGCAAAGGGGCAGGTTGGACTGACTGTTCTGACTGGTGCAAGCAAAAATTAGAGTGGATGAGGGTTGGTGGGGCTTTGCCGCAGCATCAGCTGGCAGAGGCTGGCACTGGGAGCTTAATCTGTCAAATTAAACAACAGAATCACCTGGAGAGTGCATAATCCGGAAGTTGGAGTGGTCTAGTAGAGAGATAGTGGGCACCTCCCTCTTGGGTTACCACTCCCATTGAAGAGCACAAAAACCAGGACAGGGGCAGGGGTGGCTAGACAGAAAGGCACCCGCTAGTATGTGTGTGGGCTGGACAGTAGGGCTGGTTGGGTTGCACTAGGCTTCAATGCCCACTGACATGTATGAGAGCTGAATGGGATGTGTGACAGACTGAACAAGTCTGCGGTATATACTGGCAAGCATGGGAACCAGGGTAGGGGGCAGGCCTGGTAGGGGTATGGGGGAGTTGCCCCGACTAGGCTGTAGCTCCCACTGGTTTGCGTGAGGGCCGAATATGAAGTGGACAGGATCGAGCTGGACTACAACATCCAGTGTTCACGTGGAAGACAGGGCTGGAAACAGAACTGACCCAGCAATTGCAACCACCCACACGTGCGTAAGCTGATTGGGGTAATGGATGGTGTCAGACCCCATACTGCCAAGCACACACAAGAATCGGGTCTGGGATCACCTCAGATTAAGTTTCTCTGAAGATCCCTCCAACTGAACTGCTGATCTCAGAACCTCAACCATGAAGAGACTACGTCAGCCAGTGGATTCTGAATACATTTCATCGCGATTGGAATGGCAAGATTGGCAGCAATTCAGAACTTCTGACCTATGAAAACTGCTTGAGCAGGACCCTCGGAGCGCCCCTCACATTGGGGATCTAGGGTGAGTGGGAGGCTGAGTGGGGCTTTTCCCTTTGTTTCTCCTCTGACCCCAGACACAGGGAAAAAAATGATGATATTAGTGTGAAAACAATGGTATTACCCACTTTTCTGTAGCCCCTGACCCTCTGTACCCTAAGCTACTAAGTAAGATTATAAAAAATAATAATAATAAAGTAAAATGAAAAAAAAAAAGATCTAATCATTGTAGATTCTTCATAAAGCAGAAGATAAAATCCACAAAAATATGTGAGCACACAGAAAGCACAGTGTATATCAGACGCCATGTAATGGGCCCAGCTCAGTGGCCTAGTGGCTAAAGTCCTCACCTTGCACGTGCCAGGATCCCATATGAACACCAGTTCTAATCCTGACAGTCCTGCTTCCCATCCAGCTCCCTGCTTGTGGCCTAGCAAAGCAGTATAAAATGGCCCAAAACCTTGGGACCTTGTACCCATGTGGGAGACCCAGAAGAGGCTCCAGGCTTCTGGATTCGGGTTGGCTCAGCTCTGGCCATTGCGGCCGCTTAGGGAGTGCATCAGTAGATGGAGGATCCTTCTCTCTGTCTTTCTTCCTCTCTGTATATCTGACTTTCCAATAAAAATAAACAAATCTTTTTTTTTTTTTAAAGATTTATTTTTATTATTTTGTTATTGGAAAGGCGGATGTACAGAGAGGAGAGACAGAGAGGAAGATCTTCCATCCGATGATTCACTCCCCAAGTGAGCGCAACGGCTGATGCTATGCCGATCCGAAGCCAGGAGCCTCTTCCGGGTCTCCCACGCGGGTGCAGGGTCCCAAGGCTTTGGGCTGTCCTCGACTGCTTTCCCAGGCCACAGGCAGGGAGCTGGAACGGAAGCAGGGCTGCCGGGATTAGAACCGGCGCCCATATGGGATCCCGGGCGTGCAAGGCGAGGACCTTTAACCACTTGCGCCACCGCGCCGGGCCCAACAAATCTTTAAAAAAAAATAAATATTTACTTATTTGGAAGAGAATTGGGGCTTGCATGATGACTCAATGGCTAATCCTCGTCCTGGAACACTGCAACCCATATGGGCACCAATTTGTGTCCCAGCTGCTTCACTTTCCAGCTTCCTGCTTGTGGCCTAGAAATTAGTGGATGATGGCCCAAAATCTGACACTCTGCACTTACATGGGAGATCTGCAAGAAGCTCAGCTCCAGCTATTGTGGTCATTTGGGGAGTAAATCAGAGATGGAAGAGCTTTCTCTGACTCTCCTTTTCCAATAAAAATAAACTTTTTTTAAAAAGGCAGAGTTACAGAGCAATAGGGGGAGAGAGAGATATCTTCCAACCTGATTCACCTTCCACGGTCACAGGGGTCAGCGCTGAGACAGGGCAAAGCCAAGAGCTTCCTCTGGATGTCCCAGGAAGTGGGACATGGAGGCATGGATGTCCCGGGAAGGTGGCAGGGGCCCAAGTGCCATCTTCAGCTGCTTTCCCAGGCACATTAGAAGGGATCAGACATGAAGAAGCTGCAACACGAACCAGCTTAACATGCTACAGCGCAAGGGCCTGGTCTAGGTTAGGTCAAAGCCAGGAGCTTAGAATCCCATCTGGGTTGTCTGCCAAGTGGATGCAGCGGCCCCAAGACTTGAACCACCTGCCACTGCCTCCCCAGACACAGCAGCAAGGAGCACAACAGCCTGGAGTTGAACCTGTGCTTATACGGGATGCCAGTGTCACAGGTGGCCTAACTGTGCCACAATGCCAGTCCCACCTGATATTTTAACCAGCGAACCAATGCGCCTCCTTACTTAACACCTTCATTCCATTTTCCCATGAACTTTTTATTTCCTGGCACATGTAATCATATGTAACTATGCGGACACTTTGCAAATATATGCCAATCCTTACCCCAATGACATTGTGATTGTTCCGGTCACTTAAACCACAACTTAAAGCAGTGGTTAACTCACAAGACAAAGAAGTTGCCTCCATGAAAACCAACACACTCTAACCCAGGAGTTTCTCTACCAGTTCATTCTAAAGGACCACAATTCCACCACTGGAAACGAAGAACCACTGCACAGAAACTAATATCCAGTCTCCTCTACAAAGACTTTTAATTCTATCAGCCACCGACAACCCTAACATCCTCTGGGTGACAGCAACTGGAGAATGGTTCTTCCGACACGGGCTAAACTTGGAGAGGGGAGACGGAAATAGACATGGAGTACCCTAGTATCCTAAAGAAGCCCCCGGGACCTAAACAAAACAAAACCAGGAGAAAGAGAGAGAGAAGCATACTAACAGTACACCCACCGAAATCTTGTCCTATAACGAAGTAACTGAAAAGTCAAGGCGCCTACCAGAACTGGTAGAAAGGTGAGGAAAAACAGGTTGATCCAGGCAGGCATAAGGCAACTCGTGTCTGGGGACTGAGCCAAACGTCCTGGATTCTGTCCTAAGCTCTTTTCATTGACTTTGCACAAAAGAACTAGTGTCACTTCCTAGGCGAGGAAAGAGAAGCACCAGAGACACTCGGTCCACCGTGACACGCCTAACTGAGTAGCTTCAGGCAGACACCCCAGTTGTTGCCCTTGTTCATCACTAAGCTGGCCTGTCATGCTGAAACAGTCCAGGACCACGACCCCCATGAAGCCAAGGAGGATGAAAACGCCGGCACCTGCCAGTTACGGTCAGGGAGGCTCCAGGTCTGAGGCGGATGTGGAGTCAGGTCGCCCCGAGAGCCACCTGTTCACACACAACTTCTGCGACACACGTGGCACTCGGGAAGGTGTTCGTGTTGGTTTGAGTTATTGCAACAACAGAGAAGTGCAGCGGTCTTTCTCTGAACGCCAGCCCCAGCAGGGGACGGCTGGTCGGAAACGGACTCGGGGGCGTCCTGGCCCCATTTCTCACGAGTTAGGTGAGCACGGGCAAGTCGGTGAGCCCCCTGGGGCTGCCAGCGCTGCAGAAGCACAAAGGGTTGGGGGGCTGCTGCAGCGTGGGGGATGGCGGGCCCAGCTCCAACTCTGACGTGGAAACACAGGGGCCCACGCGAGCCGAAAGGACTGCGGGAAGCGGGAAGGCCAGGGCGGGCTGCAGGGGGAGCCGTCTCCCTCGGGAAGCGGAGGGAGCACGGGCAGCAGAACCCGTGAAGGGCGCAGGGTTTCCTCCCGTCCTCTCCTCCCACCATCACGGGGCCCCGCGCAGACACACCGCCCCTCCGCCGCCAGTACCTCGGCGGCAGCAGGAGTCTCGGCAGACGCTGCCACCTGTGCCTCTCCGCCGCCAGCAGCAGCACCGCCGCCGTAGAGGCCGCCGCCATAGCCGGGAGAGCGACCGAGAGCCAGCAGACAGGCAGCCGAGTCGCACCCGTGCGCCCGCGCGCACTCGGGATCGCCGTCCACTGCTGCTGTCCCGCGCCGGCCACCGTCCGAGCCCGGGCAGGCTGAGGGGGGCGTCTCCAAGAGAGCCAATCAAAGCGCAGATCCTAGCTTCCGCGGCACTGATTGGGCAGTCGGAGTCGGGGGGGCCCGAGGGGGTGTGGTCTCTGCAGCCACCTCTCGGTCTGCGCCTGCGCGTGGCGGAAGGGCGCGGAGGCCGGGTTGCGCATGCGCACGTCGACCGGCAGGTGACCCCGCTCGTGACGTTTCTCGGAATAGTTGTAGAAAATAGGCAGAGCCCAAACGTTGTAAGAAAACACAAAACCGAGTAGGAGGGAAATGAGGGAAAGCAGTAAAGGAAAAAAATTAATGAACTAAGACGACTGAGATGGATTCAGAGAAAAAGGATTAGGAAAATACTTGGTCAGAAATAAGTTGGTGGGCCCTGCGCTATAGCTTAGCGGCTAAAGTCCTTGCCTTGAACGCGCCGCGATCCCATATGGGTGCTGGTTCTAATCCCGGCGGCCATGCTTCCCATCCAGCTCCCTGCTTGTGGCCTGGGAAAGCAGTTGAGGATGGCCCAAAGCCTTAGGACCCTGCACCTGTGTGGGAGACCCGGAGGAAGCTCCTGGCTCCTGGCTTCGGGTTGGCTCAGGTCCAGCCGTTGTGGCCGCTTGGGGAGTGAACCAGTGGGAGATCTTCCTCTCTGTCTTCCTTCCTCTCTGTATATCCTCCTTTCCAATAAAAATAAATAAATGTTTTTTAAAGAGTTGGAAAAAATGCTCACATGGCATAATAAACACACAAGGTTGATTCTTTTCCATTTTGAACAGAAGTCTGGAGAAAATTATGTCACAAGAAAATAGTTTATCAAAATAGATCCTGGAACAGGGAAAAGAGAAGCAAACTTATTGCAAAAGAACCAGAGAATGTTATCAAAGAACTCTGCTGCCGCTTCGGCCATCCCCACACAGTGCGCCCACATAAATGGCTCGGTGTTCTGGTATGACAGCAGAAAACACAGCCAGACAGTATCGACAGCCCCGTATTTGCAGCACTCACTGGTTCCTTGTATTTTTTTTTTAAATACTTGTGGGATTTGGCACAGCGCTTAGGTGCCTGTTGGGACATCCACGCTGTGCATCAGAGCACCTGGATTCAGCCTGGCAGCAGGCACGGGCTCAAGTACTTGGGGCCCCAGTGCCCCTGAGTGGTACCAGACGGAGTTCTTGGCTCCTGACTTCAGTTGTGGGCCTTTGCGGAATGAACCAGCAGATGGAAGATCTCGCTCGCTGTCTTTCTCAGCATTCCAAACAAAATAAATGACCGTGTAAAACCATGTGGGGAGCAGTGTTGTTGTGTCTTGGGTTGACCTTTCAGTGGCACCAGAAACAAATCCATGCCTACTTGGCTTTGCGGCATCTGAGAAAGGCTCAGACAATTTGGTCATCGTCAGTCCCATAATTTTGTCAGTCTTACACATTTCTGGTTATCCCCCAAATCAGCGAAGATGTTTTTGCCTAGAACTCACAGAAAACCCAATCGAAACTTGTAGTCTAATATAATGAGGATGAAAAACAGGCTGTTTCCACAACTGGGAAGTAAACAGCTTGCTGTTGTCATGTTAGACTCGGGGAGAGTCCAACCCCGTGGAGGGGAGCCGCACCGTCATTGGCAAAACAAGTCAAACGCAGAGGCTGCAATAAGCATGAGGGTTTTATTGATCATTCGCGAATGGGCAACAGAGTCTCTGGAGGCACCCAGGACTCTGCGCGCCTCACAAACATTTTGGAACAGTTTTTATAGGGCAAAATCATAATCTCTGCATAATAGTCAGCATTTCTCACTATCAGATTAGATAGCCCAGGGGTCCCTTAACTTTGTATATTTTCTTAATTTTTTTTTTTTCATTGGAAAGGCGGATATACACAGAGGAGAGACAGAGAGGAAGATCTTCCGTCCGATGACTCACTCCCCAAGTGAGCGCAACGGGCCGATACTATGCCGATCCGAAGCCAGGAGCCTCTTGGGGGTCTCCCACGCGGGTGCAGGTTCCCAAAGCTTTGGGCCGTCCTCGACTGCTTTCCCAGGCCACAGGCAGGGAGCTGGAAGGGAAGCGGGGCTGCTGGGATTAGAACCGGCGCCCATATGGGATCCCGGGCGTGCAAGGCGAGGACCTTTAACCACTTGCGCCACCGCGCCGGGCCCTATTTTCTTAATTGTTGACAGTCTGTACTCCTCGTCTTAGGACTAGGTGACCCGGTACTTTCTCAAACTTCTTATCTCTCTGTAACTGTCTCACTTTCTTATTTTTTATATTCTTGCATCGGCCTTGTTGCATTGGCCTTGCTTCCTTATCTTCTCCATTCTTGCAGCTGCCTTGTTCATGTCTGGGAAACTGAAACTTCTACTTGCTTCATGAAATGACTTCTTTATGGTTATTCTAACATGGCTCTACTCTTGCTCAGCAGAAAGCAATATACAGAAGCAGAATCAAGCGGTTATTCTAAACTCTTACAGTCACTCAGGGCATAGCCACGGGCTGTCCATATTGCCTGCTCTTCCCAGGAATGTCACAAAGAGGTCGCAGTGGGTCCTGCCACGACGGGAGATACAGCACACATCAAAGAAAGAACATTTTTTACCTTGGCTTTTAAGAATTCTTATTACAGAAAAATTTTTAAATTCATGATTGTAGGTGAAATTACGTCATAAATCCCTGCTCCCATTATACAATTTCAACAATTACTAACTCCTGACAAATCTTTTTCATTTATCTCCCACCAAGAGTCTCCTCCTGCCAATTTATTCTGAGACAAATGCAAGCCATCAGTTAGTTTCCTTCAGAAGTATATATATATATGTTTTAAAGATTTATTTATTTATTGGAAAGTCTGATATACAGAGAGGAGGAGAGACAGAGAGGAAGATCTTCCGTCCGATGATTCACTCCCCAAGTGAGCTCAACGGCTGATGCTATGCCGATCTGAAGCCAGGAGCCAGGAACTTCTTCCGGGTCTCCCACACGGGTGCAGGGTCCCAAAGCTTTGGGCTGTCCTCGACTGCTTTCCCAGGTCACAAGCAGAGAGCTGGATGGGAAGCGGGGCTGCCGGGATTAGAACCGGTGCCCATATGGGATCCCGGTATGTTCAAGGCGAGGACTTTTAGCCACTAGGTCACGCAGCCGGGCCCTCCTTCATAAGTATATGTACATAAGTATATATATATGTACAAAAGTAGTAACTCTTTTAAGAAGTAAAGCAAAATGTATAATTATGCCAAGTTAGTAATGATTAGTTAATATCATAAAATATAGTTTTCAGGTTTCTGTAAATGGACTTTATGTATATTTTGAAACATTTTAAATTTGATTTCTGCAGTTCAATTTAACCAGCTCCCAGTAAGGCCCAAATGTTACAATTAGATGATGTGTTTCTTCCGGTTCAACTGATTTGTCCTATAGCTCCCTGATTGACCCTGCTCCAGCCATTGTGGTCATTTAGGGAGTGAACTAGTAGAGATGGTGTGTGTGTGTGTGTGTGTGTGTGTGTGTGTGTGTGTGTGTCCTTCACTGTTCCTCTTTTCTTTTATGATGTATTTATTTTTATTGCAAAGTCAGATATACAGAGAGGAGGAGAGACAGAGAAGAAGATCTTCTGTCTGATGATTCACGCCCCAAGTGACCACAATGGCTGGAGCTGAGCTGATCTAAAGCCAGGAGCCAGGCGCCTCTTCCAGGTCTCCCACGTGGGTGCAGGGTCCCAAAGCTTTGGGCCATCCTCGACTGCTTTCCCAGGCCACAGGCAGGGAGCTGGATGCGCAACTAGGTCATTGGAATTAGAACTGGCGCTCATATGGGATCCTGGCACAGTCAAGATTAGGACTTTAGCCACTAGGCCACCGTCCCAGGTCCTCTCTGTAACTCTTTAAAATAAAAAATGAATCTTTCTAACAACTGCATCCTGTATCAGAGTGCATAGCTTAATTCCAAGCTCTAGTTCCTGACTCCAACTTTCTGCTGGTACAGACCCTCAGGGGTAGCAAGCCCCTCCAGGATCTTGGTGTCTCAAGTAATTAGGTCACCCATGTGGGACACCGAATCAGATGGAGTTCCTGGCTCCCCGGCGTGGCCCAACTCCTATAATGGATGAGAAGTGAACCTTTGGGTGGGAGTGCTCCCTCTTGCTTTATTTCTATCTCCATCTCTGTTTCTCTCAAATAAATAATTCATTTAAACATTCTTCTATTGAGGTTTGTCAAAACGTCCCTCTGCACCTTCTCCCACCAACACATTTCAACACCTCTGTTCCAATCTGGGACAATTTCCCCTCTAGAAGCTGGGTGATGTGAGAACCAGTTCCCCTTATGTATTCATATCTGTGTCTTCCAAAAAAAGTTGCCAAAATGCGATTGCACATGCAGAAATTTTCTTGTGGGAGACAAAAATTAGGGAACCCGAGGGAGCTGCGGAGTTTCCAGGTCATGTTGCAGGCTTGAACCTGAATGAAGGGGAGGAGATGGAGAAGCAGGCCAGGGGACTCCTCTGCCATGGAGTCGAAGGACAGTTTGGCCCCGGGGGAGTTTCTAAGCTGAAGACAGCTGTCCGGTGAGTCCCAGGTCTCCCAGGAATGGCTCGGCTTGGTCCCACTGCCGCGCTCGTCTGTCCCCGCAGGCTGCTTATGGAGGACCTCAGGGCTTTGGTGCAGCAACTGGCGCCCTGGGTTGATGGCGCCTCCTAGAGTTGGAAGTGTGCAAGGCACGTTCTCAGGGCCATCTCGGGTTGGAACAAAGACTAGATACCACTCCCCTGCACTGGCTTCCCTCACCCTCACGAAACTCATGCAAAAGCTAGGAAACAAAATAATCAGATACGCTTGATCATTTCAGTTGGCAATTGAATGAAGGAAGAAAATAAACACACTAATGAGATCAAAGGTGGTTGGGTATGCACAATTGTATCTACTCTGGATAGGGAAGCAGGACAGAATCTATGTT